AGATTTAAAATGGAGGTGTCCTGTTAGGACAAAGTCAGTTACTTTAACAAAATTTCCGACAATGATACACAGATAGGAAAAAGGAAAAGAAAAACATCCTGTTGATTGCATAGCTAGTAGAATTGCGTATGACTCAGGGAATAAACAAGTCACTCTCTATTTGGAACTTATCAGATATCATTAATCATTTGTTAAGAATTACACGCATCAGACCCAAAAATTCTCTCTTGACAATTGTTTCCTTCCTTTTCCTCTCTGTTGGTCTTTAAGAAAAATCCAGTTTATCTATAACCATTAAGATAACCTTGCAGCAAGATCTAGAAAGCTAAATGTGTTTCTCATAAATCATAAACTTCTCTGTCCCAAACAAGGAGTCTGCACTTGCCACAAATAAACAAATGCCAGAAGATTAGACATCAGTGGAAAATTCAGAAAAGTCACACAAGGCTACTGAATACATTTTAAGCAAAGAAGAAAAAGGTTTTCTTTTTCAAACTTACATATTTCACAGAACTAGTAAAAATTTTAACTTAAAACTCCATAGCCACAATTAATCCATGATGCAGAATGAGAGATAAAGTTCTTAAAAACTTACAGAATTTACAAAAGAAGTTTTCATCTGAAGACCTATCTCAATTTAACAAATGTATTAATAGAAAAAAACTTGTGAAGAATAAATATTGATTTTAAGATGGAAATAACAAATTTGGCTCAAACACAGTTTTAAAGTTAAATGCCAGCAAATTTTGCATTCCAAATCTGCACGCACCAACTGGCATCGAGTGCAACTTGAAGATAGTTATGTGTCTGAGTGGTAGTTCCACTCTGGGTTTTCCTAGAAGGAGCACTCAGTATCTCCCTTATATTCCGAACAGCTACAGGTGTTGTTATTCACTGTTAGACTGAACAACATTTTCTGTCCTGCAAGATTTCATAAAAATGGTTGGATTTTTTAAAACAAATTGGTGCATTAAGGAAGCATGGCTACAAGAAGAATGATTAGAACTAAGTTAATTCTTTAAGTATTTATCCCTGATCAACATACGTTTTCACAGATATATAGAATTGAGTCTAAGCTACAAAACACAGAAATGTTGGCAAAGATGTGTTGCATATAAATTCCATTTTTGGTGCATAGCTAATAATCAATATCCTAGAAACATGAATGCAATTGAAGCCACAATTTTTAAATCCATGCTATTATAAGGCTTCTCTTTATTAAATTTTTTATGGTTCAGTTAAGGCATCATTGCAAAAAATTAAATCATCAATAATACTGTCTGCACTAAGTAGTTTTCCTGAAAACTACTAAATTTATTCCTTTTGTGTCAGCTTTTCCTTCTCTATAAACTACTCAGCTATAAACCCAGTGCATTGAGGACTTGAGTTACAAAATGCTAAGAATCTATCTTATGTGTTCAAATAAATAAAATGATAATCACCTTGTCTCAGCATGTAAAATTTTTCAATATACAGTTCCCAATCTGTGATTAGAGCACACTGCTTTCCCATGTAGATGGTAAACATGACACAAAAGCCTTTTCAGGATTTCTCAGTATCTAGGGTCCCTGAGCTCAGGACTCCTGGCAAATTAGATCAAACACCATTGGACCCTAGAGCAAGTCTGTGTTCTAGTGGCCCTGCTGAGAGGATAAAAATACCAGCAGGAAGAAGGTTGCATTCGTTTTAGTTTTAAACATGCTTCCTCTGTATGTACCCTGTTTCATTTGAATGAGCTGTGCTGTACAGGAGGCCATCACAGACATGAAAGTTGCTGTCTTTGGTGGATTATTCTCTACCTTGGGAAGTGGGAGAAAATATGACAGAAGAACAGGATAATAACAATGTTAATGAAGATGGAACAAGAAAGTGTTTCTGCAAAATTGAATGGTAGTTTCTTCATCAGGGAGCAGAGCTGACATCAAAGTAAAGATGCCTTGTCTTCCTTCTAGACTGGAGCATTCTGGCCTAGGTGAGACATTCAAAAGAGTGACTCAACTGGTATATAACACTGATGTCACTATGGATTTTAAAAGTTATCAATGTGAAGTTTTGTGAATGGCTATGGGTTATTAGTTGGGTTTTTTGGCTTTTTCAATCAAGATACAAATAGTTGCTTTTTTAAATTATTAAAGTAATCCATGATTCCTATAAAAAATTCAATTTGAACAAACTAAAAAAAATCTCATTACCAAAAAATAAGCATTAATAATAGAGTCATATTTTCTTGTATATGTGTATTTTGTGCATGGACACACATATAGAAAAAATAGGACAGGACTGTACATATGACTTTGTAATATAATAATTTTTCATTAAACATAATAACATAGTATGACCTTTCTTCTATTTTGAATATATACAATTTATAATATGCCATAATTTACGTAATTCAATCTCCCAGTGACATGCATTTATAACTTCCAACTTTTAATTAAACAATGCTGCAATGAACATTCTTGTGTCATTTGCTTTACATATTAGCCCTGTCGTTTCTTTAAAAATATTGCTAGGAGTGAAATTTCTGGGGCAGCTGGTATGCACATTTTCAAGACTTTCAATAAATGTTGCCAAATTGTTTTTTCAGAAAAGTTGCAACAATTTTTACTCCTGAGAGCTTTTTATTTTATTTTATTTTTTAATTATATTTTTTGTTGTTCAATTACAGTTATCTGCATTTACCCCCTACCACTCACCCCCACTCCAACCAAATCCACCTCCCTCCCTTGCTTTCGCCATCCCCACCTTGGTTTTGTCCATGTATACTTTGTAGTTGTTCCTGAAAACCCTTCCCCCCACTATCTCCTCTCACCTTCCCTCTGGTTACTGTCAGGTTGTTCTTAATTTCAGTGTTTCTGGTTATATTTTGCTTGCTTTTTCCTTTTTTGATTAGGTTCCAGTTAAAGGTGAGATCATATGGTATTTGTCCCTCAACGCATGGCTTATTTCACTTAGCATAATGCTCTCCAATTTCACCCATGCTGTCACAGAAGGTAGGAGCTCCTTCTTTCTCTCTACTGCATAGTATTCCATTGTGTAAATGTACCACAACATTTTGATCCACTCATTTACTGATTGGCACTTAGGTTGCTTCTAGCACTTGGCTATTGTAAATTGTGCTGCTAAGAACATTGGGGTACATAGGTTCTTTTGGATTGGTGTTTCAGGGTTCTTAGGATATGACCCCAGCAGTGGAATTACTAGGTCAAAAGGCAGTTCTGAGAGCTTTTTAGAAGAATGCTTATATTCCTGTTTTCTCTCATTAACTGGAAGTATCATTAGTTTTCTTCGTTACTTTTAATGTGTCAATTTAGTGGAGAAAATTCAAATTTCTATTTTGCTTTAATTTGCTTTAATTTATTTGGTTATTTTTTATATTAAGTATCATTTTACATATTATTTCTTCTTTTATTGATTATTCATATCCTTTATCCATTTTTCCCTTTGGGTCATTAATTCTCTTATTAATTTGTCAAGAACTCTTTCCCAATGATAATAGCTTTCTTGTATATAATATACATCATAAGTATTTTTCCCTGTTTGTCCTTTGTATTTGACCTTGTTGCCGTCCTTCAAATATTATTTTATAAGCTGCTTCTAAACCATTTCTGAATGAGGTAATATATAGATGGGTAGATGTGCACAAAGACCCAGAATTAGTAAATAGTAGAAGAATAATTTGAGTCCAGGGCTATCTCTTTGCATTGTCCATGTTTTTTACTCTTCATTTTCCACCAAGATTTTATTGTCTTAAATGTGGCTTACTAGTATATGTTTCACACAAACATAGAAACAATATTTGCAAATGTGGTCCTCTTACAATCTGAGAATGGTGTTATTCTTCTCCATACTTCTCTGGAGTTCTGGATCATGATAAAAATGTAATTTCTCTGCACATTCTGTGAAAACAAAACCAAACTGGCTGAAACAAACTACTTTGATCATCACGCACAACACTCTCCCTTCTGGGTAGTGGAAAGGTACACTCAACATCAGGGATCTATCAATCCAATTAACATGCTTGTGAGTCTACCTATATACCCAGCTTTAGTTTACATAAAGACATAAAATAACTATTGAAACTCAGTAATTGCTCCTGTTATTATCTATTCAACAAATATTTCCATAAAACTTCTATTTGGGGTGATAGTTAATATTTACTGTATATCATTCTTCTAAGTGCCTTATATTTGTTACTCATCTAATCTTCACAAGAAGTCTAATCTGTAGTCATGTATGATCTTTTTTTTATAGATGGGGTCATTTTGACTCACAGGGAAGTTAAGTAACTTGCCCCAGATTGCACAGTTTTTGAGTGGAGAAGATATTGGGGATTCAGACTGTCCATCTCCAGAGCCTGTGCTATTTACTGCTAGCCTGGGCTGCCTCTCAGCACACAGTACTTTCACAGCATTAAGTACTGGATGTAGACTTAACTAATAGACAAGTATGGCCCCATTATATGGTTGGGAGAGCAAACAAATGGCCCCCATTTGCCCCCCCACACACACACACAGGCCTCCATGCTGACTACAGAGAAATAATCCATCCAGCCTGGATTGTGGAAGCCACAGAATCCAAGATGTCTCTTCTAGAGAAGAGGTACCAAAGAATATTAATGGAGACATAAGCTTCATAATCAAAATGCAACTTTTTAATGCTAGAAACTCAGTGCATGAAAATAAATTATTAAATGTAACTTGTCTTTTCAGGTCTTTTGGCTTTCTGGAGTTACAGTTTTTTTCATGTCTCAGAGAAATGTTTCAAGCCTTTATCCCACATGCTATGACAAGTCCAGGGGTTCAATATTTCTTAGGAATTCTTAGGACTTTGTGTTCTTCTGATTATCTCTTGTTCCAAATTTCTTATCCTGACTCATCTGCCACAACTGTTCTCCTTCCATTAACCTTTCCCCAAAACCTAGACAAACCTCATGTACGTAATCACCTTTCACTGCGGGCTGGGTATAAGTGGGGGGAAAGAGAAAAAATGTAAAGTTAGTGTTCACTTCATCAGCACATACACTAAAATTGGAATGATGAAGAGAAGATTAGCATGGGCCCTGCATGATGATGACATGCAAATTTGTGAAGCATTCCATGCTTTTAAAGAACTACACAGACCAAAAGTGAAGCTATAAGAAAAAAATATTGCAAGCAAGTGGATCTGAAAAAAAAAGTGGGAGTAGCAATATTTATATTAGACAAAATAGATTTCAAAACAAAGGCCATAAAAAGGAGATAAAGGAGGACACTATATAATACTCAAGAAAAGAATCCATAAGATATAACTGTTGTAAACATATATGCAACCAATATAGGAGCACCCAAATATGCAAGGAAAATCTTGGAGGAATTCATGGAAGATATAGACAGCAACACACTTATACTAGGTGATTTTAACATCCCATGTTAACTATTCAACAATGGATAGATCTTTCAAGCAAAGAATCAACAAAGATATTGTGGCATTGACAACACTCTAGATCAAATGGATTAACTGATATACACAGAACCTTTCACCCCAAAAGGCAAAATATACATTCTTTTCAAATGCACATGGAACATTTTCAAAGATAGACAACATGGTAGGTCACAAAACAAGCCTCAACAAATTCAAGAAAATTGAAATCATATCAAGCATCTTCTCAGATCACAATGGCTTGAAACTAGAAACCACCCTCAAGGGAAAAACTCAAAAACATTCATGAAGATTGAATAACATGCTATTAAATAATGAACAGGAAACAACAAGATCAAGGATGAAATTGAAAAGTTACTGGAAACAGAGGAAAATGAATGCACAACAGCTCAAAATCTATGGGACACAACAAAGGGAATCCTGAGAGGGAAGTTGATAGCAATACAGGCCTACTTGAAAAAGATAGAAAAATCTCAAACAACCTAACCCTATATCTACAAGGGCTAGAGGAACAACAACCAACAAAGCCCAGAGTGAATAGAAGGAAGGAAATAATCAAGATCAAAGCAGAACTAAATGACCCAGAGACAAAAAGAACAAAGATGAATAAATTGAGGAGCTGGATCTTTGAAAAGATACACAAAATTGATAAGCCTTTAAAAAGACTCATCAAGAAAAAAAGGGAGAGGACTCAAATAAATAAAATCAGAAATGAAAAAGGAGAAATTACAATTGATGTCACAGAAACACAAAGAATAGTAAGAAATTACTCTGAACAACCATATGCCAACAACATGGAAATTTGACCACATGGAGGAAATGGAAAAATTTCTAAAAACATATAATCCTCCAAAACTGAATCAAGAAGAATCAGAAAGCCTAAAAAAAAAAAATTAGTGATATTGAAGTAGAATAAAAAAACTCCTGGTACACAAAGTCCCTTGACCAGACAGCTTCACAGGTAAATTTTATCAAACATTTAGGGAAGAGCTAATTCCTATCCTTCTCAAAGTATTCCAAAAAATTCAAGAAGATGGAAGACTTCCAAAATTTTTTATGAGGTCTGTATTATCCTAATTCCAAAACCAGGTAAAGACACAACAAAGAAAGAAAACTACAGGCCAGTATTGCTAATGAACACAGATGATAAAATCCTCAACAAAATATTGGCAAACAGGATCCAGCAATACATTAAAAAGATCATACACCATGATCAAATGGGATTCATCCCAGGGATGCAAGGATAGTATAATATTCACAAATCAATAAATGTAATACAGCACATAAACAAAGTGAAAGACAGAAATCACATGATCCCATCAACCGATGTGGAAAAAGCATTTGATAAAATACAGCATCATTTACAATAAAAAAACATTCAGCAAAGTGGGAACAAAGGGAGAGCATACCTCAACATAATAAAGGCCATATATGAGAAACTTACAGCCAACATCATACTCCATAGGCAAACACTAAAAACTTTCTCTCTAAGATCAAGAACAAGAAAAGGGTGTCCACTTCTACCAGTTTTATTCAACATAGTATTGGAAGTTCTAGCCACAGTGATCAGAAAAGGAAAAAAAAATGAAAAGCATCCAAGTTGTAAAGGAGGAAGTAAAACTGTCATTATTTTCAGACAACAGAATAGTGTACATGGAAAACCTTATATGCTACACAAAACTACACACACACACACACACACACACACAAACTATTCAACCTAAGGTGAATTTAGCAAAATAGAGGGATAAAAAGTCAATATTCAGAAATCAAAGGCATTTTTACACCAACAATGAAATATCAGAAAACGAAACTAGAGGGGGAAAATCTCTTTTACTATAGCAACAGGAAAAATAAAGTACCTAGGAATAAATTTAACCAAAGGGGTAAAAGACCTATACTCAGAAAACTACACAACACTGAAGAAAGAAATTAAGGAAGATACAAACAAATGGAAGCACATACTGTGTTCATGGATTGGAAGAATCAACATCATTAAAATGTCCATACTACCCAAAGCAATCTGTAGAGTCAATGCAATCCCTATCAAAATACCAATGACATATTTCACAGATTTAGAAAAAATATTTCAAAAATATATATTGAACCAAAAATGACCCCAAATAGCTGCAGCAATTTTGAGAAAGAACAATCTAGGAGGGATCACACTACTTGATATCAAATTATACTACAAGGTCACTGTAATCAAACAGCCTGGTACTAGCATAAGAACAGATGCATAGATCCATGGAACAGAATAAAGAGGCTAGAGATAAACCCAAGTCTCTATGGTCAATTAATATTTGACAAATGGGGCAGAAGCATACAATGGAACAAAAATAGCCTCTTCAACAAATGGTGCTGGGAGATCTAGAATGGTACATGCAAAAAAAAAATGAATCTAGACCACCAACTTACCACATACTAGAATAAACTTAAAATGGATAAAAGACAAATATAAGCCATGATGCCATAAAAGTTTTACAGGAGAACAGAAGCAGTAAATTTCAGATATCCCACACAGCAATGTTTTCACTGATACACTTTCTCCAGGGAAGAGTGAATAAAGGAAGTAATAAACAAATGGAATTATGACAAATTAAAAAGCTTCTGCACAGCTAAAGAAAACATAGGCAAAACGAAAAGGGAACCAATCATATGAGAAAACATATTTGCCAATGATACCTTGGATATGGTTTTGATCTCCAAAGTATATAAATAACTCATATAACTCAATGAAAGGAAGACAAATGATCCAATTAAAAAAATGGGCAAAGGACCTGAACAGACACTTCTCCAAGGAGGACATACAGAGGGCCCATAGGCATATGAAAGGATGCTCAACATCACTAGCCATCACAGAGATGGAAATTAAAACCACACTGAGATACCACTTCATACTGGTCAGAATGGCCATCATTAACAAATCAACAAACAAGTTCTGGTGCCATTGTGGAGAAAAGTGAACCATAATACACTGTTGGTGGGAATGCAGACTGGTGCAGCCACTGTGGAAAACAGTAGGAAATTTCCTTAAAAAAAGTCAAAATGGGCTGCCTTTTGATCCAGCTATTTCACTGCTGGGATTATACACTAAGAATCCTGAAACACCAGTTCAAAAGAACCTATGCACCCCAGTGTTCATGGCCATGTTATTTGCAATAGCCAAGTGCTGGAAACAGCCTAAGTGCCCATCAGTAAATAAGTGGATCAAAAAGTTGTGGTACATTTACACAGTGGAATACTAGGCAGCAGAAAGAAAGAAGGAGCTGCTACCCTTCCCGACAGCCTAGATGGAACTGGAGAGTATAATGGTAAGTGAAATGAGTCAGGTGGCAAAAGACAAATACCATATGATCTCACCTATAACATGAACCTAATAAATACAAACAAACAATGAGCAAAATAGAAGAGGCATGGAAAAAAGGAACAAACTGACTGACCAGAGGAGAGGGGAGATGGGGATAAAGAAAGAAAGGAGAAAGGCCTAGTTAAAGAACATGTATAAATTACCCATAGACATGGACAACAAGGTGAGGGTTGACTGTGGGAGAAAATAGACAGGAGGAGACTAAGAATAGCATAGGAAATGTATAAGCTAAAGAACTTATATATACAACAAATGGACATGAACTAAAGGAGGCAGAGGGAAATGCAGGTGGGAGGGGGTGTGCAGGGCAGAGGGGAATAAATGGGGGAAAATGGGACAACTGTAATAGCATAATCAATAAAATATATAGTTTTAAAATAGAGTCAGTTCCCTTTCAAAGAATTCCATCTTTCTGAAGTAACTGCCTTAAAATACAGCCATCTCTAAAAAAAAAATCACTTTTGCCTCCTTTACAAAAATACTTTGAGGGGACAGTATTCAAATTATAGGGAAAACATTTTTTCATCTGGATTATTTAATAAATAATATTTCTACTGTCCTTAGCTGTTTATAGATCATCATGCATCTAAAGCCAAAAGAAAAGATTGTATCACCTTTCATTGGGATATCAATCTGGGAGGAAGATGAACACTCTGACATGTAGTTCAATGAAAGAATAAGTTTCTATAAGTCATTCCTCTGTTGATGTTTATGACAAAAGTCTACAAATTGGCGGTTTAGAGTTCAGGCTATATTTTTTACTAAATAAATAGTAGCTAAGGCCCATTTAACCCCTACTGTGGGTGAAAGATGGTAACAATTATATTGGCTTGAATTCAAGGTGCTGGGAGTGGGGGATTATGTGGTGTAGGAGAGAGGAGAGAGGAAAATTAGTTTACTTCCAATCATGACCCTAGATAGTTATAGTCTTTGATAGTTGCTAGTTTTTCATCTGTACTTGTTTCCTACCACCAACACACCTCTCCCCTCAAGCAGGCCCCTCCCATTTTCTTCTCTGTGACATCAGTCAGCCTTTAAATTGCTCAGGTGAAATTACTTCCTTTACTCAAAACCCCATTCTCTCCTTGTGGACAGCTTCAGCCAAGTGCCAGGAATAACTCTATCTGAATTCTCATTGAGATTATAGGAAAAATATTCTCATCTGAATTACTTAATAAATAATATTTCTCCTGCCCTAAGATGTTTATAGACCATTATGCTTCTGAAGCTAGTCCAAGGTCAGGACAATGGTTAGGAAGGAATGGGCCCTGAAATCCCACTGAAATATCTGGATCCATGCACATAATAAACTTGAA